AAAACAAATAGCAACAATAAAAAAACTAGAAGATGATAAGAGGATCTATAACTTAAGAATTAAGAACATAAGAAAAGAAGTGGGGACACAAACAAATGGACTACAAAAGTTATTCACAGAAATAATCCAAGAGAATTTCCCTAACTGGCAAATGGTAAAGATACTCAGATATATGAGGCATACAGGATACCAGCCACCTACAACCTAAACAGAGCTACACCCAGGCATATAATAATCAAAATTCCAGAAATCCAATATAAGAACAGAATATTCAAAGCCGTCAGAGACAAGAAACAGATCACTTACAAGGGAACACCCATCAGAATTATAGCAGACTCCTCAGCACAAACCATCAAATCACGAAGAGCGTGGGGGGAAATAATTCAAGCTTTGAAAGATAATAATCTCCAGCCAAGATTGATATATCCTGCACAACTGTCCCTAGAAATTGATGGAAAAACAAGGTGCTTCCAGGATAAAGAGGAATTAGGGGAATTTGCAACCACCAATTCAACTCTACAGAGAATACTGCAGGATAGTCTAAAAAAGGAAAATACCAAGATTCCAGAAATAGTGGCAGAGAGGCCACAATGAATGGAGCAGAAAACGAAATGAAGAATGACAAACTGACAACAAATGACAGAAAAAGAGCTCAACAGAAATGAGGCAGAGAAGATCGGATGGTAGGAACAGCAACTTTGGAGAAAACAAGACATCATAATAGCTAGTGCTGATTTAGTATCATCTTGTTTTGAAGTCCCATCAAACGTGCATTCTTCCGTCTCCATTGGTCTTAAAAGGTTGTATCTTATTGGATTTTATTATATATGATAATATAAGCAAAACTTTTATAGACAAGGAGTTTATATAGAAACCATTGTTCATTTTCTGTTAGCTGGTTCTGAATACCCTGTAATAATGTCATTCTCTTGAATGGTTTTATAGTGTCTTGATATATTTGGTGCTACAGTATAAAAAGTTATATTCAAAGATTTCAAGGAAAGAGACACTATGGTAACTATTTTCATGTCAGGATATCTTGTTGTGAAACACTGTTTTGCTTAAATGGTTATGATTTGACCTGCACTGTTCTGTTGTTATGCCCTCTTTTATCTCAATCCCCCCCCCACCCTTTTTGGGGGGTCTTTTTTCCTTTTTATGGGTACCAGGGACTGAACTCACGAATGCCTGCTTGCAAGACAGGCGCTTATGCCGCTGAGCTAAATCCCCAGCCCCTCCCCCTTTTTAAAATTATTTACTTTTTTTCTTTTTCTTTTTTTAATTAAGGGAAAAATAAATAAAAAATAGCAGGATACATTATAGTAACCTACTTTGATTTCCTATTAACTTGATTTGAAATCCCGTATTGCCCTCACCATCTTATTTTGACTGATTTTCCTCTATTCTGCTTTCCTTGATAGTACCAAAATCGAAAGTATAGGCATAACTGTGAAGACAATAAGAATCATTATGACACCCATTCCGATTGACTATTATTTTCTTTTAAAATCCTGTAATGTCTCCAATGCTTTGGTTTTATTATTTCCTGTTTAGTTCAATTTTATTATAACTGGCAATTCTTCTTAAAATAGCAAGAGGCAGTATGGTAACCATTGTTGATCACTTTATATTTTGTTTTTACATTATCTATTATGTCCATCCTTTTGATTTGACTGACTCTGTTCTGATATGTCGCATTTGGTTTTACTCTCTTCAAAAAAAGTAGTAAGAAATGTGGGAGTAATAAAACCCAAAATGTGTAATGGTCATTCTACAAAAAAAAAAAAAAAGAAAAGAAAGTGTTCTAAAGGTTATTACTGCATATATGTTTAAGTGTGTAAGATAGATAACCATATTACTGAGTGTTTTTTGGATCATTGAACATAACTGTTTGTACTCTCACTGTTTGAAAGTCCACTTTATGTGCTTCAATTTTGTAACTTGAACAACTATTTCTAAGATGAGAATATGTAATCTATTAACTAGTGATTTCTTACTGTTTATTTTTTAAATTTTATATTACTTTTACCCTTTTTGTTTTTTTTTCTTTTTCTCCTTAAATAAATAAAAATTAACGTAAAGCACAGATGTCCACAGTCAAGACAGAAATAAATCTATTTTTTCTGAAGCCTCTATCTCCAAAGAAATGGATATTTCTTTTGCTGCTAGAACTAAACCTACTGGTATAAGAAATACATTTGGATTCAGTTTGGCATCTCCTGGTTGCTAATCATTTTAGATAACAGCATCTGAAACAACTCTGCATTCCTCAGGATATCTGGTTTCAGTTGCTTAAACTAGCCCTCTCTCCATCCATATCTCACTTTGGTTTGTCCTTTCTTTGGAACTGTAATTTACCTACCAAAATTTAACAAAGTTTATGCAACAACTACAAGAAGCTTCTCTTGTAGGCTGATTACCACAAAATTGTATTGCACTGTATTTAGAAGGTATCATGTAGATTATTGAGGCAAACTTTGTTTTTTTTTTTTACATTTAGGGAACTGAGACATTCAAAGAAGTCACTACCCATGGTCTCAGAATTAACAAAGGTGGGCCACCCAAAAATGGGCCACTTGGAAAAGGGCTTTGCTTTGATTATACAAAGCAGCCCCAAGAGGCTACAAATAACTGATAACATGCTGGGTGTAGGGGGTAAACACCTGTAATCTCAACACCTATAAGACTGACGCAGGAGGATCACCAGGAAGGAGTTCAAGGTCAGCCTAGGCTACATAGGGAGATCCTGTCTCAAAAAACCAAAAACCACCACGACTCCCACCTCCGCCAAAAAAAAAAAAAAAACCCAAACAACAACAATAGAAAACTGAAATGGTGGCTAGGAACATTCCTGAGGTCTCTTATCTGACCACTGCATCTTAATCTGAGAGATTCTAATTTATCATGTGCAATACACTCTAAACAACAGAGATTGAAAAATTGGGGTATGGAGATTGTTTCTTTGCCTTTTACTAGAAAGCAGAGATGTTTTTACCCAGTCAAAACAGAATGAATGTTTATTTAGAATTCTTTTTTATACACTGGGGTCCCCAGGGAAAGAGAAAAGCGATTATTCACTTTGTGGGATAGTAAATGTGGGCCATTCAGCAATCCTATGTATCTTTCTAATCAACTATAATTGAATCAAAACAAAGTTATGAAGATCAAGAGAAAGTCCTATAACCTGCAATTACATATAATACTATGAATAAACTCACAAATGTAATGTCAAGTGAGAGAAACAAGACTCCAAAGAATACAGACTGTATCACTGTACTTAAAGTATGTGAAATGAAACAAAACTAATCTCTGTTATGAAAAGTCAGAACAGTGGTATCCTTATAGGCTTAGAAGGAGGGTGACTAGAAGGGACCATTGCGGAATCTTGTAAGGTACTAAAAGGTTTTGTGTCTTATCCAGGAATTGGTTACATGGGCAGGTTCACTTAGGGAAAATGCACTGAGTTGAGTGTAGTTTTCTTCAATACATAATCGTGAAATAAATAAACAGTCCTATATAAGAAAGTCCTCAGAATGAAAGGCACAGTTTATGAAGGTCAGCCTTGACACCACAACTGAAACATCATTTGTGGGGTGATCTGCCTTCGGAGTCACAGGCCCTGTGCCTTGTAGGAGCGTCATGCATGGAGGTCCCCGGGGAAACGTGGCTGGGTATCTGCTTTGATATTTGGCTGCCTTCACCACAGACATCTCTGAGAGTTGGAGAAGCTAGACTTTCTCAGCATGGACCATAAACTTCTAAGAGTAGTGGAAAAGACTGCTGACAGATTAGGTGAAGTCAACCTGGATAAGTATCTCTTGCTAACAAGTTTTCTTGGAACAGACAAAATGCAAGCACAAACTACTTGCCCATCTCTTTCCTGCTAGAGATAGTCTAAGTGGTTGTCAATGTCACACAGAAGAGCTGAAGTGGTAACCAATTATTGTTGAGATTTTGCTTCAATAGGATTTAATTTTAGTCATACACACACACACACACACACACACACATTCTCTCTCTCTCTCTCTCTCTCTCTCTCTCTCATCACCAAGTGTTGCAGAAGACTTTAGATCAATAACAAGCAAGACCAGATGCTAGAAACTATAGAACTGGTATCAAGCACCCTTACCCTGAAATGAAGTGTGGCCCTAGCCACAGGGCATTCAATGAGCCCTGGGAGCAGTTATCTTTCTCTCCTTTTTTTCTTAGATGACTGTACCCTCAGCCCTATGTTTCTTGAGACACAAGGGAAATGCCTTCATGAATCAGTCCATGATACAGCCTAGGAGCTGTAATCCAAAGCTTTTTTTCACACTGGTAAAAACAAAAGAAACTGAATACTAATTCCAATCCTTATGAAATCTATAAAACTTACACTAGGGGTTGGAAAACTGATCAAGAGTTACAGCTGCATTGATGAAAAACTTGGTTGAGTCTTTTCTATCCCAGCCAGAAATCTAAGCATAGGGTCTGTCCACTAGAAACCAATGAATTCTAAATAGCCCTATATATCCTCTCTCTTCTTGCAACTTATGGAAAGATTATTCATCTTCTAGAAAGTCTTTTGGGGATGTCAGAGATTGAGTGTCAGGCATGATTTATTATGTATAGTGGCTGGGGCTTTTGCCACCATTTATAACCAAACTCCACAAGTAAATAGCTCCATAAATGGTGAAGAGTGCAAGAAAAGAGGTTCCTGGACTTCCAAGAGGCTTGTTCTACACCAACAGAAAAGGTGAATTTGGCAAATTATTGCAAGTATTTTTAGTCTGTGAATAATGGCACCAGCCCTAGGGGTGTACCTCCCAAATGGCCACTTTCCAAGGGCTAAAACTAATTCAGGTCAGAGAGAAAGCAAAGAATGCTAATTTACATATTCTTCTCTCCATGAGTATGAATAGAAAATGGCCAGGGGAAAGCCTGTCAAGAAAGCCAGCAAGATACCTATTCTTTTATTTACAAGATTACATCACTGCTTCACCAAAATAATATTGACATACCTTTTTAAAGAGTCTTCCTGAGTCCTCGCTGACTTGGACAAATCGAGGAATTATATTATTTAGGTAGATATCGCTCAGGGTGGTGTGGTCCCTGCTCTCTCGTTTCACCTGGTTTAAGAGGAGATTCCAACAGTTGACTGGAGAGAGAACATTCTGATCTTTCCTGCAAAGAAGCAGCAAAAAATCAATCACTCACTCAATCAATAAAATCAATGTTGGTAAGCAGCCAGGGCCAACACCTACAATTAGAATCCATGTCACAAATCACAGCAATCAAAGCATAACCAAAAATGAAGGTATCTTTCCCAAAGCCTGATGACTACATATTTTTCTTTTCTAAAAGTTCAGTGGAAAAAACAGGAAAAAAAAAATAAGAGGAAAAGAAAAGGAGGAGAAAGACTACTTTTTAAGGATCTCCCATGTCCTGGGAACTCAAAGTGAAAACTTTAATCCATTTAAGCACCATCATTTCATTGTAATAAAGGAACTACCATTATTGCCTTCTTGCTGATTAAAAAGTGAAGCTCATACAGGTTGTAACTTGTCTGTAGCTGGTAAGGAGCCACAAAGAACAAGGAATTGGGTCCTAAAACCACAGTTCTGCACTCCCTGACTAGAACAGGTCTAGGCTGTCTGACTCCAAAGCCCATTCCTCAGCCATTAGGTCATTTGGCTTATCTCTAGGGTTAGAAACAAAAGATACAGATTTTATCTAGAGACAAAAATTTCTAGAGTATTAGAGACTAAATCCCCCAAAGTTTATCTATTGTAGGATTTAATAAGGGCAACTTTGGTGACATTTGCCTTTAAAAAGTCACTGAAAACTTTAGTTCCATGGAGCCTAATTAAAGAATTTTGATTTCATTGACTGAAACACAGTCCTGTATCTCATATAACTAAGAACACAAACCATATCTGAATATATGTATGTATTCCTAAAGCATTTATGGCATGAGAAGAGACAAAAGTCCTAACCTCTAAGATACTCATTTTAAATGAAAACAATGTGTGATCTAAAAGAAATACCTTCTCAGTTCACAGTACTAATTTAAGCAGCAGAGAGTTCTGTACCTGAAATCTGGATTTCTTCCAAGACAGACATAAAATAGGAATCATTACAGTACTATTTATCAAGAGATACTGTGTGCTCAGCACAGGGTAGGGGCCTTTGCTAAAGTCCTCCAACTTAAGCCCCAAACTATCCAATAAGATGAGTGCTGCTAGCCACATTTGAAAGACAAGGAAAGGTAGACCAAACAAATGTTAAATACCTTCCTCTAGGACACATAGCAAGAGAGTGGCAATACTGGGATTCAAAACCAAGTGTGGAACTGCAAAGAGTGTTCTTAACCACTAGAAGAATCCCGGCCTGCACCTTCTCCTCCTCCCCACTCTCCTTCCATTCAAACTCATAATACACAGGAAGTAGTTGACAGTGGCCTGGTTCTTGAGCCTACACTTTCTCCATTTAGTACTGGAGGGGTCTAGGCACCTGCAATTTTTTTAAAAAAATTTTTTATTGGTACTAGGAATCAAACTCAAGACCATGTGCTTGCAAGGTAGGCACTTATGCTGCTGAGCTAAATCCCCAGCTCCAAGCACCTGTAATTTATAAAGATGGACATGTATCTTGGAGGAGTTTTTCAATTCTGTAATAAACAAATAATCACATCATATCTGCATAAGCTTTTGAGGTGTACACTTTGGGGGGGGGGTACTGGGGATTGAATTTATGACCTCACACTTGCCAGGCAGGCACTTATACCGCTGAGCTAAATCCCCAGGCCCTGCACGAGCTTCTGAACACCTCAGACCTGCAAATCAGTTATGTGTCTAGCCAATCTAAGAAGCTGCTTCAAGCCCACCACTATTACAATCCATGTAAAATTGTCCTATATTTATCCCCAGGCCCTGCCCCAGGCATCATCATCATTGTTTCTATAAACAAAATCACTAACACTTATGAGCCAATCACAGTGGAAACATGATGTCCATCACCTTTGGGGGGAAATTAAAAGATTCTCATGGAGATTTAAAAATATGCTAGCGAAGAGGGAAACACATGTAATTAATTCACTTCCTTGTAAGTATTTAACATCTGGAAAAATAAAGTTAAATGGGAAACAATCCTAAATCTAGAATGGTGAGAGATTAAAGCACCTATATTCAATGATATTTGATGTTTCCATTGGAAGGAAATTTTCAAATTAATTCCAAATCAGTTTCAGTTATAATGTTCTAAAAAAAAATCTAATTTACATTTCTTCAGGTGGTTTTTCTTGGTAAGATACCCGTGTCAATAAACATGAAATGTACCAGGCTATGACACTTTTTTTTAAAAAGTACAGCTCTCTTATATTTACAAGTGGGTTCAACCTATTTCTACAAGGAGAATATGAGTCAGCAGTCTCTATTGTGCTTTACACACAAAAACGATGCTATAACTTAATCCTATAAATGGGTAGGAGTTTGTCTTAAATGAACACGGTGTAACATCAGGTGCATTCATAGTTACGAAAGTGGTGTTGCCTCGGTGTAGTGTGGGAGATAAAGGAAGACAGAACGTCAATGGAGAGTGGAGGGATGGACAGCTAGCTCACCACAGATGCTCCAGATCACAAAGGAAGCAGGGAAAGCAAAGGCCACAGAAAAGGATGCAAGGCTATGTCCCCAGGCACCCTTGAAAGGATAAGAATATGGGTTAATAACAAGGATACAATGGGGATGGTAATGGAGCTCAGTTGGTAGAGTAAGGGTTCAGCATGACTGAGACCCTGGGTTCCATTCACATCAGCACCCAGTAAGAAAAGAAAAGAAAAGAAAAGAAAAGAAAAGAAAAGAAAAGAAAAGGCAAAAGTGGCATCATTTTAAAACAAAATGCCTTATTATCAATAAACTTAACCAAGAACTTGTTTCAAGGGACCACAAATATTTTTACCGCATGCATTTATTTCTATCTTTACAGCAGGGAATGGGAGGGTTATTACTGGTTTCACCAGGTGTAAACTTTTAAAGTACATTTTGAGAAGCTCTGAAATTAGTAGACAATCACATTTCAATTAAGAGAACTACAAAGCATCTACACAAATGCACAACTCTCACAGAAAAGAGCTTGGGGCCCCAGACTCCTGTACTGGACACCACCATGCCTCCCAGGTGGCTGGGGAAACTCACTGCACCCAAGTCCTGGCACAAAGAATCGCTGTGAGCGATGAGCCTGTCAACAGTGTGCTCCTGGTGGGGTCCTAAAGGGTGAACTCTGCACAGGCTTGTTTCTTAATTGAAGCCCCTGTGCACTTCCTTGAACAAAGCTGCGCAGGTGCGCATATACCTCATCACATAGCAGTCAAGTTCTTTACAGTCACAGAAAGCGGAGGGCCCTGTGCTGGGCTAATGGGAGATCACGGGTGACTCCTGAGAATTAACATTCTCACTTCATTGTCAGTTGCTGCAAAACTTTATATGTGTCGGGGCTTACCTAATTAATATTTTTGAAAGGGGATGAGAAAAGCTGCCAGGCAGTGTTAGCAATTCAATTTCAAGACAAAATCTTTTTTAAACATCTAAAATTTTTAGGCTGAGCATGGTGACGCATCCCAGCAACAAGGAGGCTGAGGCCAGAGGATCACACTGAGTTGAGGCTAGCCTGAACTACAAAATGAGACTCTGTCTCGAAACAAAAAACAAAACAAACAAACAAACAACAACTATAAAAAAAAACCACTGTAAACATTTAAAATTTCTGTTTTAAATGTTTCTGGTTGGTTTTTTGAGATAATATATTTAGTTCTTAAATAGTTTCACTATTTACACTGATAGCTCTGTCACAAGTACTCTATATAAATTTGTTCTTAAAAGCAGACTTACAGAAATTAAAAAAAAAAAAAAAAAACACTCCAAAACAAAAACAGGTCTTTGATCTATTTCATGCATGGAAGTTGTGCAGGCTTTTTACTTTAGAAAAGGAGACTGGCTTCAAAAATAAAAAGGTTTTAGAACCTGTCTCCTTTAGGGTTCCCTGTCTCTTATTACAACTGCACCTTTTTGTACAGTATTTTGGGTCCTCTGAGTTTCCATGCTTTCGCAGACATATCCCCCTTTCAAATGAGGTGTCTGAATTAATTCATTTGCTTATTTTTGGACAGTGCTGAGAAGGAGAGGTACAGGGAGTGTGGGAAGAGGGGAACACAAATATACTGTACAGGCAATTTTCCCAGCCAACATGAACAAAGATGAAACACTTCAGGCTGGAAAATAAGCAAGTCAACGAGACGTGATTTCATAGGGAGCACAGAAAGGCTTTGCTACAGTGGTTTCCTGCTCCAGTGCCTTTGCGGCCTTATTTTATTTGGGTCCAAGGAACCAAAGAAACTCCGTTTGGCTAGGAGATTGAAATTTGCCTTTATATCTTTTCCATCTATCATTTGTTTGCACAATGTCTTCGCTTTCCCTGCCCCAAAAGCCTCAGGTTGTGTAGTATTTGGGCATTTAAAGAAAAGGGTCTTCATCCCTTAGGAATGTGCTGAACAGCTGCAAACCTCCTCAAACACTAATCCCTAAAAAGCAGACAAAATATCCAGAAGTATTTTTTTTACTTAAAATTTTTTTCAGGAGGAAGATCAAGAAAACATCATGCTGTACTGGAAAGGAAATGACTCAAGTTAAAAGAAAGGAGACTCAGAAAGTCACCAGGCGACTGTGCATCTGCAGAAGGGATTATCACTACAAATGCACTAGAAGACATAAAACTGCACAGCTGAGTCATACGTTTCGAAGACATTAGCCCAGTTTTTCTCCTTCAGTTGAGACTATTTATGGACGTTCAACAAACTTAGCAACAAATGCTCAATAAGATTTTTCTGAAATATCCAGGGGTAGATAACAGTGCCAACACCATAAACTTGGCCTCTATACTACCTTTTTTTGACCATGTCCTTTTGGCTTGGTTTCAGTATTCCATGTATCAAATGGATATCAGTGTCCTTAGCTGTAAAATCTCGTGAGCTCTCCCAGCCTAAGGTGCTGTCTAATTAGTAATTGCTATGTCCCTGGCGCTGTAGATAACAGTGCACCGAGCATGGCATAAGTGGGAAGACTTGAGCTTCTGCACTACCGTGGTGAGCTATTCCCTTCTGGGCCAAAGCCTCTGACTTGCTCACTCGA